CCCTGCTCTGATAGCCTGGGGGGCTCGGGGCAATTCATATGTAAATCTGGGAAAGCCTTAGGGGATTTAGGGGCTCTAGGAGCATTCCACAGCTCTGGGAAGATTCTTCTGTGCCTGCCTGCTGACACGTTGATGCTCCCGTACCCCCGCCGCGTCACGGAGTCAGACTTTGGGCGCTGAGGTACCTCCCGGGGTTGCTGGAGTCCACACAAAAGAAGGTAGAATAGTCAGCCTCCTTCTCGCTCAAGTGCAGGTTGCGAGCAGGCTGGGAATTCCAAGATTTTCTTTATCAAAGACAGAGCCAACTTTCAGAGCAGGGAAAGAAGTGAGTAGCTTTTCTCTTTAACTCTAGTGCGGTTGGGAGAGCTGTGGGAGGCTGTGGGGTAGCCAATCCCTTCCTAACACTGAGGAATGAGCCTGGGGACAAAGGACTGACCTGAGAAGGTGGGGTATCTTGAGAAGGAGGGGAGTTGGGACTGGGAGGGAGTGCACAGGGGGCTGGAAAGGGGAACAAAAGACAGAAACCGTCACGAATTGTTCTATCACCACAAGGGAATTTGTGCGGTCCACCCCAGCCCTCAGCGGCAAGGCCACCCCAGGAAGAAAGGGGCACTGGACTGCACGTTTTACTGATTGGCTGATGCTGGCCACAGCTTCCTCCTGTGCTTCCTCGACCCCAGGTTTCATTGTTCTTAAAGAAAAGTGAAGTTTAAGGTTCTGAACAGAGCATTTCCACTTGGTGCGTTTTACCTTCACCTGGTGCAGTCGGTGTTCTCTGGCCCATCGTGGGAAAAGGGCTGATTTGGTGTTGAGTTATTACCTTGTTCCGTTCCCTCAACAATTCTACAAAGCGGGTACTATTATCCTCACCTCACAGAGGAGGGAACTGTGGCCCCGAGGTAAAAACGGGCTTTCCCAGGGCCTCCCCCGCTGAAGAGTGCGAAGTGCAAGGTTCAAAGCCTCCCGTCTCCACCGCAGTTGGCGGAGGCTGGCTGCTCTCTCGCACTTGATTGCCCTGGATACTAAAATTGTACTTTAAGCTTTTTTCTTAGCATATAGTTGGAATAATGGGAAAACAGTCTTTTAAATTTGGAGTCTTTTCAAGCCAGATATTTCTAGTTTGACCTAATCTTTAAGAATTAATTAGCCTGTGTGGAGCCTGCAGGCCATCTGCGTCTTCAGAAACATCTAGGATTTTGTTAAGATTGCAGATACCTGGGTCCCACCCAGATTTGCTGAATCAGAATCTCACGAGTGGTGCCCAGGAAACTGCAATTTAACAAAAACATCCCACAGGAGGTGTTAATCACGCTAAGGTGTGTCCGGTTTTGTTTTTTAAAAGCTGTACAAGAGTTTATAAATTCACCTGCAAATAAAGACATGCGGGTAGTTTAAAAGAAGTGTTAACATTTCTTTTTCTTTCTTTTGATACAAATAAAAATCTGGTTGAGTCTCCATGTAAGTTGTTGGCTTCTGACTGATGAGTACTTGCTGGTGTTTCATGCTTTCAACTACTCTAATTTGTAGAACTTTGATTTCTGGGAGATAATAGTTCCCAGGGATTTTTTAAGATCTGAAGCAAATAAGTTCCTGGCCTTTTCTAGTTGAGGTACCAGGCTAGGGAGGCAAAATGGTGCAGAATTAAGAACATAGCATTTGGATTTAAATATATTTAGATTCAAATTCCAGACTGCTTACTCACTACAGAACCTGGGACAAGTAGGTCAGCTTCTCAAAGCCGAGGTTTTCTTATCTATTAAATGGGAGTACTAATACTACTTCAGTGTATTGGTGTGAATATTAAATGAGTTCAGGAACATAGTATGTAAAGCACATGGCACATGGTAGGAATTCAATAAATGTTCTTCCTGTCCAATCCTGTATAAATACGAGTTTCTTTTACAAATACTGAATCATTATGTTGTACACCTGAAATGAACACAATGTTTTATGTCATTATACCTCAGAAAAATTATATTAAAAAAATTATTTTTTCTTCTCAACTTGCCACTTATGAAACTACTAGAGGCCTGGTGCACAAAATTCATGCACGGGTAGGGTCCCTAGGCCTGGCCAGCGATCAGGGCCAATTGGGGACTTCTGGCTGCCAGCCAGGGCCTTCCTTTGTTCCATGCCACCCCCTGGTGATCAGCGCACGTCATAGCAAGTGACCGAACTCCCGGTCTCTCGGTCAAACTCCCGAGGGGACACTTTGCATATTAGCCTTTTATATATATAGATATTTGGGACTGAGATTCTGTTGCTTTAAAATCGCCAAAAAAAATTAAAACAAGCCTATTGAAAATAAATTTTTAGAAAGATATATTTTTTATTGATTTCAGAGAGGAAGGGAGAGAGAAAGATAGAAACATCAATGATGAGAGAGAATCATTGATCACCTGCCTCCTGCATGCATCCCCCCCCGCCCCGGGGATTGAGCCCACAATCCTGGCATGTGCCCTGGCTGGAATCTTAACTGTGACTTTCTCATTCATAGATCAATGCTCAACCACTGAGCAACACCACTGGGCTGAAAATAAATTTTATATACATTACAATTAATTTAGAACTATAGTTTAGCACTCTGGTGAAATAAGACATGTTTTAAATTTTGTCACACCTGAAATGAACACAATGTTTTATGGCATTTAAATTTAAATTCTACCAAATATAAGTTCAAGAAAAGTATTTTATCTTTCTAATCTTTATTTTGAATAATATCAGATTTACAGAAAATTGCAAAGAACAGTACAAAGAACCTGTATATTCTTTATTCAAATATATATATTCTTTATTCAAATCCACCAGTGTTTAACATTTTTCCATGTTTATTCTTTATTCACATCCACCAGTGTTTAACATTTTGCTATGTTTTTGTTTTCATTTTCTCTCCATGTGTGGACACACACACACACACACACACACACAGGTTTTTTTCACTGAACTATTTGAGAGTAGGTTGCATACCAGTATGCCATGTCCCTTACTAATAGCTTCAGTGTTTATTTTGTGTGAACATGGATATTCTCATACATGACCACATAGATTTGCCATTTCAGGACATCTTGAATTGATTTAATAAACTGTAATCTATAGTTTATATTACAATTTCAACAATTGACCTCTAATGTCCTTTGTAGCAATTTCCCCCCCACCCAGGGCGGGATCCAGTTCGGAACCACACATTACATCTGTTTGTCATCTCTTCAGTCGTCTTGGTTGTGAATGATCCCTCAGGCCTCCTTTGTCTTTCCTCATGTGACATTTAGAAGAGTACAAATCCTCAGTTTGGGTTTGTCTGATGTGTCCTCAAGGTTCCTTTCAGATTATGCATTTTTAACTGGGATGCTTCATCAGGGACATAGTGTTGTTTCCAGATATGACATATGCAAATCTATGATGTCTATTTGTCCCTTATTAGTGATTTGAATTTTGATTTTATTATTCATTTCTCCACCATATAGTCACTATTTTTCATTTTTGTAATTAGTAAGTAATTTTTAATAACTTATTCGAAACTATGCAAATACCCTGAGCATCTTCAAACCCTACCATTATTTTTTTCTACCATAGAGCTTTCTCATTGGGTTTCTCTCTCATTTATGTACTTACATACTGTCAATATGAACTCATAGATTCTTATTTTATTCAATGGATTTTAATCCAGTGCTGTGTTTATTTATTTTGATACTCAAATTGTACCAGTTTGGCCAGTGGGAGCCCCTTTGGACATGCACCCCTTATTTTCCTGAGCACTTCCTTACTTTCTACCATAAGATGTTTCAGGCTCATTTATACCTTCCCTGCCCCAACCCTGGGCTTAGTCATTTCTCCATAGAACTCTGGTTCCTTTGAATGCAGAATGGATTTTAGAAATCAGAATCTGGGCTGCACTTTTTCAACATAGGAATTCCTAAATTCTTAGAGAAGAGACAGTGGGGAAGAATTTTGGAGACTAAAATCTGTTGTGAAAGCCTAGTTTTCATAAGTAGTTTAAACACTTGTGTTTTGTAACTTAAGGCTGGGGAAAATTTTTTGTAATTATATTGAGACTTACTAATATATTTACTTACCACATCTGTTGTTGTTTTAAGTTGATCTAAAGAAATTTGAAATACACAGCAGAGATTGCTTCCCTGTGGAAATTTTTAAATTGTTTATTTTAGTATTTAATGTTCATTTTAATGAACAAATGTCCTCTCATATAAATAATTCTCATCATGCGTTTCTAAGTAACAGGTAAATGAAAAAGCTACAAGATCATATTGGTTTTCATTTTTAGATCATGCAGTGTGGGTCTGTAAAGATTCATTTAACTAAAAATACCATTAAAGAACTTCATGTTTGCAGTACATTTGTATCTTCTAGGACACTTGAAGTAACAAAACTTGCTTGTGAGAATATTTTGATAAGGAGAATCTAAATAATTTTTGCATATTTCATCATATATTAATCTTAATCCATCATCACATGACTGGAATATAGTGGGTCCTGCAGTCACCCTGATCTCAGCTGAATCATTTCTGTCTAATTCTTGTCTTGCCCTTATTTGGCATTATTATGTTCCCCATAACATTGTTTTTAATGTGCATATCAATGTTTTTAACCTCCAGCTGGGTACTTCTGCTGCTGGGATCATGGGATGGATTTTATACCTAATTAAATGAAAGCAGTTCTTCATGTGAACAGCAGCTCTTCCAACCTCTGTGCCAAGGAAGTTGTGGACACTGATTTGTCCTCATAAAATGCGCCAACTACTCTTTTTTTAAGGGCAGATTCTAAAAATGGTATCACACAGATGGGAGAGGTTCTCTCTGCAGGAATGGCCTCCTAAGCTCTTCATCTGTTCATGATCAGAACTGACGTGTGGGACCAGATGTCCTGATTGTTGACAACTGTGAGGCCTTTGGTTCCCGAGGACTGTGTTCATTTCTAATGAAGTTGAAGAGTCCTGCTTTAGCACACAGAGAGATGCTGACCAGTTCTCTTTTCCCTTCTAGAAATGACGCTCCTCTCCTCCCAGTCTTCATCTCCGGTGGCTGCTTCTGGATCTGTGTCCACTGAAAACCCAGAGCAGAGGATGCTGGAGAAGAGAGCCAAGGTGGTAGAAGAACTTCATCAGACGGAACGAGACTACGTTCGGGATCTGGAAATGTGTATTGAGCGGATCATGGTCCCCCTGCAGCAGGCACAGGTGGGAACTGTGGGAGCAAGGTAGCTTTACCTTGAATAGGGTTCTCCACACCTAAAGTGTCAGAATACGGGAGCTTTCACCACAGAGATTTATTGGGTTGGAAGTAAAGGCTGTGGCTGCTACTCTTAATTCAAGGGTCCCAACATACATGTGTCAACTTAAGCCATCAGTATCCTGTCACTTATCAAGTCCACTGTTAACTAATCGGACTTACTGCAATAACACCCAGGACATTTCTGTTTATTTGGCTCCTGGAAACAGTACCAGGGAGTCTGGACTGTCACTTTCCTGGAAAGGTTGTATAATAACATAATGAAGTCTGGAGATGATTGGGTTCCTGGCTCTATCACCTGATTTGATTGTACAAGGTTTATTCAGGAAACTCTCTGTCATGTGCATATCATGTTAGGTACTTTTCTAGGTGCTGGAGACAGAAAAAGAGGTTCACAGTTTCTGGGGATTTATAGTCCTTGTTACTTGACCACCTGGACTGGGTTTTGTTTTTTGTTTTTTAATTAGATTTGTTTTATTTTATTTTATTTTATTTATTTTTCTTATATTTTATTGATTTTTCTTTCTTTTTTTTTTAAAAAAAATATATTTTATTGATATTTTACAGAGAGGAAGGGAGAGAGATAGAGAGTTAGAAACATCGATGAGAGAGAAACATCGACCAGCTGCCTCCTGCACACTCCCCACTAAGGATGTGCCCACAACCAAGGTACATGCCCTTGACTGGAATCAAACCTGGGACGCCTGAGTCCACAGGCCGATGCTCTATCTGCTGAGCCAAACCGGTTAGGGCTGGACTGGGTTTGAGTTTGTCTTCCTGGAGCAGTCACCTCCAAGAACTTCTATAGCAGCGGTTCTTAACCTGTGGGTCGCGACCCCTTTGGCGGTCGAACGACCCTTTCACAGGGGTCACCTAAGACCATCCTGCATATCAGATATTTACATTACGATTCATAACAGTAGCAACATTACAGTTATGAAGTAGCAACGAAAATAATTTTATGGTTGGGGTTCACCACAACATAAGGAGCTGTATTTAAAGGGCCAGAAGGTTGAGAACCACTGTTCTATAGGAAGTAGGCAGTGCCATCAGGCTTTGGGTACCAGGTGGGAATGTGAATCCCAGTATAATTATAGACCAAATTGTTTCCACAGTCATTTTACTATGGTAGTGGGGGAGGAAGACGGGGAGAATAGTTGAATCAAGGACTAAGGGTAACACTAAAGCTAATGTTGGATGTTTCTGTTCTGGAAACTTTGTGAGAGTGAGTGAAAATGACCTTTAACAGTTTTTTAAAAGTATGTTTTTATTGATTTGAGAGAGAGAGAGAGAAGAAGAAGGGAGAGGGAGAGGGAGATAGAAACATCAATGAGAGAGAAACATTGATTGGCTGCCTCCTGCACGCCCTCCTTCTCCCCCCTGCGCCCCTCCCCTTCATTGGGATAGAGCTCAAAACCCTGACATGTGCCCTGACCGGGAATCAAACCAGTGACCTTTTGGTTCATGGGTTGACACTCAACCACTGAGCCACACTGGCCTGACTGACCTTGAACAATTTTTGTATCATACTTGAAGAGGTGTTTCTAATGTGAATGATATGCTATTAATTTCATTCTTTTGTGTTAATCTTTATGTTTGTTTCCCTTTCTCAGATACCAAACATTGATTTTGAGGGACTTTTTGGAAATATGCAGATGGTGATAAAGGTCTCAAAACAATTATTGGCCGATCTGGAAATCAGCGATGCTGTAGGTATGAGCTCCAGAAGCAACTTTTTTTTTTTTTTTTTTTTCAACTTCATGGGTAGAAGGCAGGAGGAGAAGGGCCTTGCTAAGAAACGAAGTTTTAATTACTTAGTTCAGAGGTTGTTTGGCCCTCAGCTTCTCCTTTTATCTGCAGCCTACTTTGAAGTGATACCGGATCTTAGCAATAGAATAAATTTTAGCTATTACTGACTGGGATGTTTTTTAGACTGATGGTTGCAACCTGATAGTGGATCATGAGGTCAATTTAGTGGGTTGCACGAATAAAATAGAAAATATCAGAATGTATTTTTCTCCTAATTTATTTTACTATCCGTATAATATGACAACAGTGAAACAGGAAATTAAAACAAAATATCCATAACCTCACCCCTATAAGATATCAACTATGTTTATTTTTCCTTCTTCCCTTCCACTTCTTTTCCCAAGACGAGCAGGAATTGGGTAGCAGAGTGTGGTGTGCTGAAGGTACACAGAGGATAGTGCAGGAGAGGGCCTCGGAATGGAATAGTTCAGGACCTTGGCAGGAGTGTTAGCTGTACAGGTGAGGGACAGCCTGCAGTGGCCATATGCATGAGGTGGAGCGGGACTATATGAGAGCACCATGCTGGGGGCTTCAGTCTTGGTCAACCAGAAGGCCAGGCAGTACATTCACTGGGGAATTAATAAAGGATTAGATTTGGAACATCTGACAAGGGGACAGTTCTGAGAAGTCAGAGAAAGAGAAATTAAAGCTTTGTTGAGCCACTAGCAAATGGCAGATTGACATGAATTGCATAAGTAAATTTTTATTTTGGTTAAATTTGATTTATTTTAACATATTAAATTTAACTTATTTTAATTACATTCACATGGCACACAGTCAGAAAGGTACAAAGAACTAATGAAAAGTATCCTACCCGTCCCCCAGTACTCAGCTCTTTTCAAACCGAAGCAACCAGTGCTACTAGTTGTCTTACATCTCCTTCCAGAGATACTTTATTATATATCAGCAATTACATATATATTTTTCTACCTTGGTTCACCATCCATGTTTTTAAAAATTATACCAGTGGCAGCATACAATTCAAACTGCCTTATACTAAGTCTTTTTCCCTCTCAACACCGTACCTTCCAAGCAGTCTTAATGACTAGGAAAGAGGGGTAACTCAGCAAAAATCAAGGTAATCTAGGGTGCTGAAGAAAGCAGCACCGAATTAATTTGCTAATCCTGATTGGAGAAGGATTCCAGTACAACCAGGGCAGCATCTAGCGGGAAAGGAAAGAATGATAAGTGTTCAGGGCTTGGATGAGTTAGAAGATGAGGAGGCTGAGAAAGACGAAAGTATCAGGAGACTGTGTATATATTAATATATAAAGGGACTGGCTTTTAAAGTATTTTAAATATGTCCTACAGAAAGAAATACTTAACATAAGGCCCCAGGATATGTGTACTAGTATGTGTGTGTATGCCTGTGCTTGCTTTTACTATGTCCAATGTTATCTGATATTTTCTTCTCTTTTTTCCCAAGTGAGTGCTGATCATTACCTGTGAAGTCAATTTCATGATCCACTTATGGGTTGAGACCCACAGTTTGAACGACTCTGGAAATTGAGGTGTAGCTTTGCTGGCTTGTAGTTGGTGTAAAATAGTCTCTATGAGGAAGGTTGAAGAACAGTGAATGGAGAAATGCGAATAATCATCCGCATGATAGGGAAGATTCTAGGGCTGCTGGAAGGGATTGGATATACAAAGGAATAATGTAAGAGAAGAAGGCAGGCAAATATCAGATGGTAAAACTAGATGAAGACATAGGTGGCTCAGGGATTTCAGAGTGGCCATGGGGTTTCAGAGTGGCCCTGAAGGTCAAGAAGGTAGCCAGCCCCACCCCCGCTACTGTGCCTGTTGAGTTGCAGGATTAGACAGAAGCAAAGCTGCCAGTGAGACAGGGCAGCTGGGTGTGATGCTTATGAGCAAATCAAGTTTCTTTCACAGAAAGGAGCTATAATTAAGGGAATACATTTAATTTAAATAAGAACCGATCTGCACAGGACTAGGGAATTCCATAGGACACAACATAGGGGGAACAGAGGTGACATTGTAGGGCAAGGGCTGGGGGTCCCTGAGCAACTGGTAGAAATAGTTACAGGGGAAGCAGTGAGTAGGGTCGTATTCTGAGAGAGGAGCGCTGTTTGGGGAGAGCAGTACAGGCTGAAGAGGAAGGACAAGTGTGCTGAGTGAAGGAAAGAAGGGCGAGAGGAAGAGTGGTCGGGATTGGCAGTCAGGCAGCAGCTCTAAATGAAATAGGAGCTATTCCTCTCCTAATTGGCTGTAGACCAGGGCTCTGTGGCTATATTTCAAGGAGTCCATGAACTTGGATCAAAAAATAATTACATCTTTATGTTCAGTAATTTTGAACTGAAATGTAGCATTTTTTTAAGGTATGCCTATAGGGCACAAACCACATACTGTTAGCAGGACCTGTGACTTCATCACCAACTGAAGTCGCATGTTTGTATCACATTAGATTGTTGCAAATATCATGCCAAAACCGGTTTAGCTCAGTGGATTGTTGCAAATATCAGCCAGAAGCAACTGAGATTACCAGTTTCTTATGTCACTCATCATACTTTGAAATTATGGTGATTACTATTATAGTCAATGCTATGTTTTACTATTTAATGCTTCATAAAAAGTACATGTTATTGTGTCATATGTTTAGGGTTTTTATATTACAAACTAGAGGCCCGGTGCACAAAATTCATGCATGGGTAGGGTTCCTAGGCCTGGAGGGCGATCAGGGCCAATCTGTGGGGCAACTGCTGGGCTGATTGGAGTGGGGGGGCCACTGTCACCCACCTTGGCCGGCCTGGAGCTGCCCACTTGCTGGCCCCATCCCCCACCCCCCAACCCCTGCCATGGCCAGTCCCCTCCCTCTGCAGGGCAGCCAGCGGGGCGATGGGGGGGGAGTGGCCACTGGCACCTGCCTTGGCTGGCCTGGGGCCTGCAGGCTGGGGACAGCTCTTGCGTTGAGTGTCTGCCCCCTGGTGGTCAGTGCACATCATAGTGACAGGTTGTTCTGCCTGTCGTTCAGCCATTCGGTCGATTTGCATATTATGGTTTTATTATTATAGATGTTTTAATATAATGAATTTCATTTAAAGTCCTGTGTATTCAATTTATGCACAGAGAGGAGATTGGAAACTGCTGCTGTAATAGGATCTCTTCATCCCTATAGAGATTTTCCTGGGGCTTAGAGAGTATGATCCTTACTGGGTCTAACCACATACTTATAAGGCAGGTACTTGCAAGCCCCTTACTCTGCCTGACTGAAAAGGGGCTGGAGACTGTCTCAGGACCAGCTGAGTGTGTGTGTGTGTGTGTGTGTGTGTACTGAAAAGTAAATACATGGATAACATGTCTTAAATTTTGCTTTAAATAAGAGTATTTTAAGCTATTACATGGAAATTTCTTATTAATTTGATGGGTAGTCTTACTATCATTTCTTGTGGTAGGGTTTAACTGACATTAAAGTTTGCCTATACACCTTACATTTAGGATACTGAGAAGAAATTTACTAAAAACACTGTATGTGTATATTTTAAAGGACCCGTGTTTCTTGATCACCGGGATGAGCTTGAGGGAACATACAAGGCTTACTGCCAGAACCACGATGAGGCCACCTCACTGCTGGAAATCTATGAGAAGGATGAGCGGATCCAGAAGCATCTTCAGGACTCCGTGGCAGAGCTTAAGTAGGAGTTTTGACCACTTCACTTCTATCATAGCTCTTTAGTTCTGCCTTTTGATCATCACTCCCATGTATATGTCTATACTGCTTATGATATCCATTGTCCATCTTGTTTTAAACGTAAATGATACATTATTATAGGTTCTATTAGGTAACTTGCCTTTTTCCATCATATATCATGGAAATCATAAGTGGCATCCTGCTTGTACTTTTATCCATTTCAGGCACTTTTATCTATACACTAGAGGCCCGGTGCACAAAATTCATGCACTGGGGGGAGGAGGAGGGGGGGTTTGTCCCTCAGCCCAGCCTGCACTCTCTCCAATCTGGGACCCCTTGGGGGATGTCTGACTGCCGGTTTAGGCCCGATCCCCCCCCCACACACACCACCACCCCACTGATCTTTAGAGAGAGTGGAAGGGAGGAAGGGAGGGGAGGGAGAGAGAGAGAGAGAAACATCAATATGAGAGAGACACATCAATCAGTTGCCTCCTACACATGCCCCAACCCAGGCTGAATTGGGCCTACAACCCAGGTACCTCCCCTTGACTGGGAATCGAACCTGGACCCTTTGGTCCTTGGGCCAACACTCTAAACACGAGACCAAACTGGCCAGGGCAAATTCAGTTAATCTTGATCATCAGGTGAGATTTTCCTGGTCTTAGGGAGGCATGTTAATGTATATATCTAAGTAGATCAAAGTGAAATTAGGGGCTTACTAACTTTTTTAAATAGACTAGGTATGCTACCATAGATATTCATAATTTCTCTTTTATCCCATGTGATTTTTGTTTGCTCAACTAATAGGTGTTAACATTGAATTGATATGTTCTGAGAAAAATATGAAAATCAGCATTATCTCTAATCAGCTGTCTGATTTCTTTTCATGCTCACTGCCCTATAGGAGCCTGTACAGCGAATGGTAAGTTCCCTCGCCACTTGCACAAATTCATTTTTAAATTTTCTTCCTTTATAGACAGAAACCTAGAAGTAGATTTACCTTGTTATATTTTTCTCCATAGCACTTACCACCCAATGACACTTTATAGGATATTTGTTTATTGCCAGTCTCATTCCATCAGGGCAGGGACTTTTTATGGTCACTACGAAATCCCCAGCACCTGCAATAGTGCCTGGTATATATTTATTAGGTGTCCAGGAAACATGAATGGATGAAAGTAGAAAGTAGGAAGAAAGAACAGAGCTCTGCTTAGGAATCAAGGATACTCCCTGTGGGTCCTGTATTATTTATTGACAGCTGACTAAAGGCTCTGTTTTCCTTCTTATAGGGGATGCACAAATTATATCAACCTGGGCTCCTTCCTCATCAAACCAGTGCAGAGAGTAATGCGTTACCCACTGCTGCTAATGGAGTTGCTGAATTCCACCCCAGAATCCCACCCAGATAAAGTGCCTTTAACCAATGCAGTCCTTGCAGTCAAGGAAATCAACGTTAACATTAATGAATACAAACGTCGGAAGGATCTGGGTAAGAACAGCATAGTTGCTACAAAGGAGCTATGCCTTTGAGAATGTTCTTCTTCTCAAAAGAATTATTCCACCAGAGGTGGACGAAGCAGATGGTAGTCTATAGGGTTGTGATGTAGGAACAGTAGTGGAATTTTGGGGAAGTGTGATCTGAAGAAAGAGAGCAGTAATAATGCAAGCACAGCCATGGCCTATTGGAAATCAACATCTCTGATAAAGCTTATAGCAGCACAAGTCTTTGCCAAGAGGTATGAAGACTGATTAGAAAATGGCTGCTCCAGAGTTCCTCCAAGCATGAGTGACTGCCTTCT